GGACGAAATTTTGTATGGCTATATAATTCGACAAAATGAGCGCCATATAATAAATCCTTCATCTGTCAGCAGTGCAATCGTCACTTCACTGCCTAAGTCAGCAACCAACTTTGTGGTTTTATTAAGAAAGATCCCAATTATTTAGTTTATATACGCAAACATTTTTATCACTGGTGAAATTATGTCAAACTTACATTCTGTTCGTCGACCAACGGCTCATATTCACTGATAACTCTAAGAAGCTCCACATTGCCCTTTAGGCAGGCAATGTGCATAGCTGTGTTGCCATTATCCTTAAATCATTTGTTAAACAGTGTCTGATATATGCTAGTGCAATTGTACCTTTCGCTTTCGTCTCACCTGCGCTTTTCCATTTACCGTCAAAAGCTCTTTGCATAGCTGCACGTTCTCCGCTTCGGATGCCAGGATGAGCGCTATGCAGCCATTCTAAAATAACATAAGTCCCATTAACTGCATAATATAAGCATGTTACAGTCCTATAGTTGAGGATAAGAGAGTTCCATCACGCGTTTTATGCATAAAAACACGGAGATGGACTCTTTTTTGCTGGAATTTAGTTCATCACTCGATAAGTACTTCATGAAATTACGGCGCATATGAAATTTTTTGTGTACAAGCTTTCCAACGATTCGAATCATGCTCTATACGCCTTCAGGATTGACGAATTACAGATGTTACAGTAATTGTCTTTGCATTTAGCTGCAAACTTCAATATGGAGGTTTTAGTCTCGACAATGTTAGTTGATTGATAACTTCGTTCTAGTGATAACCCAGTTTCACACCGATGCTTTATTCATGTTTGATTGTATTATCAGTACTTCTTTAACCTTCCTGTTTAGAACGTTTAGCTCTCGATGCATTCCCTTCATATAGCCTTACAGTATGCGGTGTTGTTCTTGCACTGCAGGTTGCACAGCCGCCGAGTTCTTTTCGCATTCCTGCTTCACCACCTGTGGATCGTTCGTTTTTCTTCGTCTTCTGCTTTTCCGCGTTTGACCATTCGGAAGTAGATCCGCGTTATGCCATCTGCTCAGGTAACTGAGGGGTTCCTGCTTCTCCTATATAGTGTTGCCGGTTTCTCCTGTGCAATAGAGACCATCTCAAGGCGTAGGGTGCAAATCCTGCCTTGTTGTTGGACATTCGGTTTGGTGGGTCTACGCATTTCAGCTGGCCCTGCAACGTTGTACGGGATCTGAATAGTAGCTATATTCATGCCGTACGGGCGATTCTCTGCAACTTCTCGTTTGGATTTGGAACGTATGGAACAAACAATGCCGGTGTTGAAACTTGGTTTAGCACTATTAGTTCGTCCATTTAAACTCTCCTTTCGCTGGCTGCTCATTGCTTCTTCTGTGAGTCGTCGTCTTGGGTAGCCACTGTTTCTGGAAGCTCTTCAGATGTTGATTAATTCATTTTGGACACGACAGTCGTATGAGTTCAACTGGAAGCATATGATAACTAGAGTGCTGGCAATGCTCTTCTTCGCGCAATATGCGTGGTTCGAATCGAACGCCAGCAATTCACTTATTTATGCTGGCTTGTGAAATATCTCAGTAACGCGTTTGTTCCCCTTTCTCGTGACAAGTGCGTAGAGGAAAAGTACCGAGTTGTGTTGCTCCAATTCCATTGAGATTATGAGTTCCCCCGGATGCGAGCTGTTAATGTGATCGAGGAAAGGCGTCGTTAGTTCTTTGTTACAGACGATGAACATGTCATCAACATTCCTCCTGAAAAAATAGTGGTAGATTTTTGAAGTAGTCTACATCCGAGGAGCTCTCAGAAACACTGCCTACCATAGACGATTGATAGAAATTGCAGTCAGCAAAGACAAAGTGTGAAAAGAGAAACTAAATGTCTTAAACCAAGTTTCAATATCAGCACTGTTGTTCCATAGGTTCCGAAAATAAACGAGAAGCTGCAGAGGATCGCCCGTACGGCATGAATACAGCTATTATTCAGATCCCGTACAACATTGCGGGGCCAGCTGAAATGCGTACACCTACCGAACCGAAAGCCCAACAGCAAGGCAGGATTTGCACCCTACGCCTTGAGATGGTCTCTATTGCACAGGAGAAACCGGCAACACTATATA